CGCTCGCTGTGTTGGTGAGCGCGGGTGTTTGCGCGCGTGTTCCGGTGCGTGTCCGCGCGCACAGTGGGACGCGAGTGTAGAGGCGGCCTCGGATCGCAGGGTGCCAGTGGGACGAGTGGGGACCCAGGCTGAGCCTGGATGTGTGCGTGTGCGCTCGCACGTCTGGGTGCACGCACAGGTCTGTGGGGTGGCCGTCAGCCAGGGCGACGCCAGCTGGGGCTCCCACTCTGCCTCCAGCTGCGGGACATCCAGAAGCCATCTACAGCGGCCCACCCCGCGCACCTGTGCACCCCGACTCAGCCCCCTGGTCCTGGGACACCCCCTTTCCCCAGGGCTGCTTGCCGCCTGGGCCTGGAGGACTGCCAGGGAGACGAGTGGCAGCTAGGCCACCTTGGGGTCACTACCCCTCCTGACTCTGAGGGCTCACCTCAGTGGGGTGCAGAGATGGGATGGGGGAATGCTTGCCTCGGGCAGAAAGGTAGCAAATTGGAAGGAAGAGGGCTACACAGACTGGGCCCAGAGACCCTCCCCAGCCAGCCGAGGGGCTGTGTGACCTTGGCCAGGCCCTGGCTCCTGGTGTGGAGTACTCTGGGCCCCTGCAGGAATGCCACTGGGACCCAGCTGGACCTCTGGCTGTGGGATTGAGTCAAGTGTCTCCCCACCCTGGTAGCTTAGCCTCCAGGGGGCCCGGCTGAGCGTGGGGCTGTGGGCTCCCTCTCCGGGACCGCGCTCCCTCTCAGGTGGAGAGAGGAGGCTGGGCTGGGCCTCCAAGCATCCTGGTCCGCAGACGCAGAGGGGCAGCCCAGGGGGTGTGAGTGACCCTGGATGAGTCCTGGCCTCTGTGGCCTCACCCCCCCGCAGCACAGTTCGCTCTCCACATTATCTGCCCCCTGGAGCCCCCAATCCTGCGTCCGCAGAAGACACCCCCCAGCTGGAGGAGTCCGGTCTGGGGCTCCCTTTCCATTCCCCTGTTGCCTCGGGGTAGAAGGCAAGAGTTGTTTGTTGTCTCAACAGCTGCCCAACCCCTGGGCCCCCAGCTGGTCAGGAGGGCGGTCCCTCCAGCCCCATCCCCCCAAGCCCAAGGTGCCCTTAGAAGGAATGGGGACCAGAGTCTGGGAGACACACTCTCCTGGTGGCTGGACCCACGGGGCTTGGGAAAACAGAGCCTTAGGTGCCCCTGAACTCTCGCGGGTCGGGTGTGTCGGAGGAGGGGAGGGGAGGGAGGTCCTCCCGCACTGTCCCTGGGTAGAGATGAGGAAGAAAACGCAGGTTCAGAAAGGTCAATGAGTCACTGAAGGTCAGTGTAACAGCATAAGGTTGTAAAAATCAGCAGAGGGACGCGGGCCGAAGTGGCCTGGAGCAGGCGTGGCCATCTTCCTGCCTGCTCAGGTCGGTTCTGAGCCGTCTGAGATGCTCTAAGCTCGCCCTGCCCCTCCCCCACACCCCAGCTTGGCCTCCAACCTGTCCTAGTCACCTTCCTGTCCCGGGGCTACCCTAGCTGCCCCTGCCTCTTTTCCTCACTCTGTGACCCCCACACCTGCCCATGTCCCTAAACGGCCCAAGGGAGATGGTGACAGCAGGGACACTCTCAGAAGCACAACCTCCTCTGGTCCCGGTGGGCAGGGTGGCATGAGCTGGGCCTGGTGTGCAGGGCAAGGCTGGTGACGGGGACGGCCCCTCACAGCTGTCCCACTTGCTGTGTTTCAGGGTGGACAAGTCCTTCTCCCCTTGCCGGAGCGTGTGGTGAGTACTGGGGACCTTCAGGAGGGTCTGGGCTGTCTGACTCCTGGGGAAACCCCAATCCACTCATGTCCCCATAAAGCCAGGCCAGATCCGCTGACCCTCCAGACGTCTTCTCAGGCCACGGGACTGGGAGACCTTCCCCCTGGTACCCACACCTTGTGCTCCGTAGTGCAGCTCAGGCTTGGAGTCAGATAGATCAGGCTCCCATCTAGTTCTGCCACTGCCTGTGTGACCTTCCGTGATTCGTGAGCCCCTCCAAGCCTCAGTTGTCTCATCTGTGAAATGGGGGTTAAGATGTTTCTGCAAGGGCAAGTCTGTAAAAGTCAAGCAAACAAACCAGGCCTGGCATGTTGTAGGCCTCACTAAAAGGGATCCTTCCTTGTCCTCCTCTTCAGTCCTTCCCACCTCAGGATGGCTCCTGGCTGGCCTGGGGGTGCCCTTAGCTTTTCCAGTAACTCCCTAACCCTCTAGTGCCACCCGGTACCCAGGCCTCAGACCCCGTCCTGCATCTGAGGATTCCCTTGTTCTGGAGGAGGGAAGAAGGGAGGCAGCTGCACCCGCAGCTTCTCCGACACCAAGAGGCTGTGCTGGGGGAGCAGCCCCACCCCAGGATTCACTGCAGCCCGGCCGGATGCTCTGCAGGTGGGCACCTCCGGCCCAGCCAGCTGCTCCTGCTGCCACTTTGCCCCATAGGAGGGACCCCCACTAGCTCCTGTCCTGCTTCCTGGCCCTGCTGAGAGCATCCTGGGGTTTGCAGGTCTGGCCGAAGATTCCCATTTGGCATCGGTGCCCCCCACAGTCCCCTGGGAGGCCACACACAGCAGGCGTGTCCAGGCGGAGCTCCAGGGTGGCCTTTTCATTTCCCTTTGATGCTCCCTGTGCAACCTGGGGCCGGTTTCTCTCCCTCTCTGGGCTCTCTCTCCCGCTGCCATGCCCAGTCAGTTTGAGACAGTGTGCTGTGCCCGGGGCAGGGTGGCAGGGGCGCTGCAGAGGCGAGGAAGGCGCCCCCTTCCATTGCAGGACTTCAGCTGCCCCCGTCAGGGCCTCCTGGGCGCTGCGGGCCTTCCTGTGCATCATCTCTGCACCATTTTTCTGTCTGTGGTGCTGGGGATCCAGCCCAGCGCCTGGTGCATGCTGGGTAAGCACTGTACCACTGAGCCACACCCGACCCCCCCCCACACCTGGCAGGGAGGGTCTACAACCCCTGATGCCACACAGAGGGGAAAATGACTTGCCCGAGGTGATGTGGCAGCAGACGTGGGACCTGAACCTTGGTCTTTCAAACTGTGCAGAGCCCTGAGTCTCACTCATTCTGTCCCAAGGCTTCCAGGCCACAGGGAGGGTCTGAGCAAGAGATGGGCGTGAAGGAAGACTTGGAGATGGGACCAGAAGGTCCACCCTGGGGAGCCCTGAACCAAGAGTTAGCATTGAGGGCCCAGGACTGATAGTAACTGTCCAGCTGTGTGTCTTTAGGCAAGTCGCTTCCCCTCTCTGGGCCTCAGTTGATATCTGTGAAGTCAGCATCTGGAATTCCCAGGGCAAGCTTATTACCCACAACGCCTTGCCCTGCACCCTCCTTGTGAGAGCTGCTGTCCAAGGTGCTAAGCTGCAGGCCCTGGAAGCCAGTGGCTTGGCCCACCTGTGTACCTGGCATCTAGGTCCTGCTCAGTAAATGGTGGCCATTTTGACCACCAATGATAGTCTCCTGGTATTCACAGTCCCTTCTGGTAGGGACTCACGTTTCCTGTCCCCCGAGTTCCCAGCCAATGGGAGCACGGCCCAGGTCAGCAGCAGCACCACGGTCCTGCCCCCCGCCTCCTCCCTTGGCAGGTGTGGCGGTCAGCTGTCCGTTGCTGTGACAGAATACCTGAGAAAAACAGAGGAGGAAAGGTCTATCTTGGCTCAGGGCTTCCGAGGTCTCAGATCTGTGGAGAGGCCGCATGTCAGGCAAGGGGCGTGTGGCAGGCCACGCTCTCACCTCCTGGTGGCCTGGGGTGGGTCAGAGAAGGCTCCAGGACACGCCCCCGTGACCTACTTCCTCCCACGAGGCCCCCCCTCCTGCAGTTTCCCCACTTCCTGGAGTCCCCCCAAATCACGACCCCCCCCCAGCGCTCCTGTCCTGGTCCCTTGTTCTCCCCTCAGCTGGCCTCCCCGCTGTCGGCCAAGGTCACCGTCACACATTAGCGCTCGTTCCTGGAGTGGCACATCCCTGCTGGTTCCTGGAGGAGAGGACAGAGCGTGGGTTTTGAATTCTGACATGCGGATGGGGTCCGCCCGTGCCTTGTCCTCGCTGTGTGACCTTGGCCAGGTCCTTCCCCCTCTCTGAGCCCCCCTTGATGCTCAGCGGGTGTTTGTGGAGTTGGACCTTTCCGCCAGGTGACTTCAGGGGAGTTGAATGTCCCAGTCACCCTGAAGCCGGCAGCAGGCCCTGAGCCCCTCTGGTTGCTGAAGTTACTTTGTGCTACCCCCCTTCCCGGTGTGTGTCCCCTGACCGCCGGCCAGGCTCTGCTCTCCTCAGGTCTGTGTCCCCCACTAGGTCTTTCTGAGCTTCCCCAGTCCAGTAAATGCTTCCTGAGGTGGAGTTGACTCTAGTGCACCCAGAGAATGGACGTTCTCGGCAGGCTGGGAGGGCTTCCTGGAGGAGACGGGATTTTCCTCATCTTTTTTTTTTTTTTCTAAATCAGGGCTTGGATCCTAAGGGACTGAGGTCTGGTTAAGGTCAGATGTGACCTTGGCTGGAGTCCCCACCCCCACCCTTATCAGCAGGACGTCCACAGGCCTGGAGCTCTGAGTAGGTGACCAACAGGAGAGGCAGGAGGCGCAGCGGAGGGTGGGAGCCAGGGAGTGACTGGGTCCTGAGCGACCCAGGAATTCAGCGAGGGGCTGGGCATGTGAGGTGGAGTCAAAGGGGACAGGAGGTGCAGGGGTAGGAGGTGGTCAGGTGGGCTGGCCCAGGGCAGGGGGTTCTGGGAATACCTCTCAGAATAGGAGAGTTGACTTTGACCGTGACCGGGGCCCTGGGGGAGGAAGACCTCGGCCAGGGTTAGTGCTGGAGTGGGCTGGGCATCTTGTTATGGTGGCCTTGTTCGCTCATGAGTGACCTCGGTCCTGGAAGTCGGTCTTGTGGCCCCGTTCTAGAGGCCAGAGTCGGTGTGGGACAGGTGGAGGCCCGGCCCAGTCACACGGCTGGCCAGGGCTGGGCCTGAACCCAGCGCGCTCTCTGTCTCCAACGATGGGACCTGGCTGGGTTGGGGGCAAGGGAAGAGGGGGAAAGTGAAACGGTCCTGCATCTGAATGCCCCCCAAACAGGAGTCCTGCCCAGCCCAGCGTGTCCCACTGAGGGGCCCGCCTAGCCACGGGAGTGTCTCTCCTGACAGCGGGAGTCCCAGTCGTTCCTGCATGTGGTCAGCTTCCTGGGTCCCAGGGCCTGGGCAATTGCTTCACTGCAGCGGGCCCCAGCCTGGTGGAGACTAGTACTGTGCACCCCCATTTTACAGATGAGGAAACTGAGGCCCAGAGAAGGGAAGTGGCTGGCCCCAGGTCACCCAGGCAGTGAGTGGCAAACACATGGTCAACCTGAGTCCCGGCCTTTGCCCTCACTCTCCTGGAGGCTGCCTGCCCGCCTGGGGGGCTTGGGTGGGTGGCCCCTCCTCAGGTGGCTCCTCTCAGCAGTCACCCGGCCAGTGGCCCTGGGGACCTGTGTGCGGCAGCAGGCAGCACGAGGCGGGCTCATTAGTGGCTCTGAAATGCCAGGCAGGCTCAGCCCGCTGGGCGGCCTCATCTATTATGCATCTGCTGGGCAGGACCCAGCGGGCACGGGCCAGGGAGCTGGCTGCTGCCTCCTGAGCCCACACCTGCCACCACCCCTGGGCAGCACCTGTCCTGTCCCCCTGGCCCAGCCGGAGCCTGGGGCCCACCGGGGACAGAGGCCTGGATGCGGCCCGAGCTCCCGCCTGCCATCGTCGCAGCCGCTTCTGAGAGGGGCTGGGATTTGGTCCCTGGGGCTGAGGCGGGCAGAGGAGGCCTGGATCTGAGACGCACCCGCTCCTGACTGCGGGTCGTCCCTGACTGAGCTACGAGGAACCACTGAGCGCCTACTGTGTGCCGGGCATGGTCGGGGGATTGCGAGGGAGTGGAAAATCAGCCAGCCTCGTGCCTGTCCTCGGGAGCTCAGCCTGGCCAGCACGTCCCTCCCGCGGGCCTCAGTTTGCTCACTGTGACATGGGGGTGGGTGGCAGGGACCCTCCCTAAATAGACAAGGAAACCAAACCTGGGCGTCGGGCGGGATCAGGAGGAGGGTGATGAGCTCCCAGGAAGCTTCTTCCTGCGCTCCCTGACCGCTTAGGGCCAGGGCCATTACGCCCGGGGTTAAGGCTGAGGGGACTGAGGCCGAGGGGCCGGTGGCCTGCTCAGCCTCCAGCAGAGCCGAGAGTGGAGCCTGAGCTGGCTGCTTGGCCCTGAGTGTGGCCACTCAGGAGAGGTGGCCCTGGAACCCAAACCTGAAGAGGGAGAGGAGCAGCCATGAGAAGGGCCGGCAGGGTGGGGACAGGGGGCCCAGCCAGGAAGCCGCCGCGTGGAGGCCGATGGCAGGAACCAGCTGGAACTCCCGAGAACGGTGACGTCGGGGTGGCTGGAGGGACGACGAGGCTGGGGTCAGGGGGCCTGGAGCAAGGCGCGGGGGTCAGGCTGAGCTGGGTCTGGCGGTCGGACAGGAGCTTGCGTGGCTCAGTGGCCGGCGTGGCCGGGCTCCTGGCTCCGCCACGTCTCAGAATCACAATCTGGGCCTCCTGGACACTGGAAGTGGAAGAGGCTCTGGGGGTCCACTTTTATGGCCCCTCACTTAGCAGGGGAATCCCGTCTAGTTCCTGCCCTTTTGACCATTAAAAAGAGCCTTCAAGCCGTGGGGGTGGCGCACGCCCGGAATCCCAGCGAACAGGAGGCTGAAGCCGGAGGATCGCAAGTTCAAAGCCGGCCTCAGCAACTTAGCAGGGCCCCAAGCA